GACAGTTCTGTATTGAATTCTACGCAACTGAAAGCACTTCCCGAACATAACGGTTGGCAAGGATCAATGTGACCTCATCCATAGAGCAAAAGGACACGTCGGTTTACCTATTCCCAAAATTAGCTCAAATAAATGGAAAACTAGAGGCAGTGGTTAATAAAATAGAACCTCTATTTACTGCTCCCAAGCAACACTTACAGCGTTTAATAACTCCCGCAACTCCACGCCTGAAACTGGTTGACCTATCCAATGCTCGAGTGAATAAACAGCGCAGAAGAACATTCCAGGGTGTCCCTGATGGCAACGTGCACGTACTCACTGACTTAAACGGAATAAAATGCAATACCAACCACATCACCTGACTGCAGTGGACAACATTGTGGTCATTTTCAGTTTACTTGCGCTAGACGACAACCAAATTATGAGCAAAATGTTTCTTTAGAGGTCTCTGGCGGCTCTATACACATTTTCAAAACTAAGCCCATGGGGCCAGCTAAGGATAATGTTTGATAAATCAGTTATATTTTTTTCAAAAAATGAACGAGTTTACGCGCGTGTGTGTATGTGTTTGTGCAGTAAAATCCTCCTCCCAATCCTCTTGCCTACTGGGACAAGGTACTAGTTCAGTTCAAATATAACTATGCAACCGTGTGGAATAGACGCTCATATGCGTTTTGTCGGTGTGATTGCGTCTACCGACTCGAAACAATCGAAACTTGTGCCTGCAAAAAGGGGAAGGGGGACGGAAATCAGAATGAATGGAATGACTGAACACAGTGAATATGCAGTTGAACTCAGAAGAATAGAACCACTTCCGGACAAAACGCGCTGAAAATGTTTAGAAAGACTGAACTGAAAGGCATCGCTTTCAACCATATGAAGCGACTTAACACACATTAAACAGGTTGGGAGACCCGCATTTCCGTGAAATTTGTTTACCCACATTCGGACAAACTTACGTCACAGAGACCTGGGGAGGGACATAATAGGACAGTTAAGTCGTGTTTGCTCGTGACACTAAAATTACGGGGCAAAAATGAACTTTTTAAACTTTAAACGCGGTTTCACAAAACCCATGTCTGAATCCAATAAGCTGCTGCAATAAAACAGTGCCTACATAATAATAACATTCTAATGTAGATATCTGTCGTAC